GAAGACAGAGAATTATAAACCACGCTACAATTATTTGAATAGAATTGACTACCCCCTTGATCCCCTTTCTCATTTTACAGCTGGTATAATCAATGTGACAGATCGATGCCTTTCTATACCACTTGAAATCACTGAAATGGGGTCGATTTTGGATTGTCGAGTTCCACATAAGTTAAGTGTGTTTACCCAAATTTTCTTCAACTCCTGCTCTGTTTTAATAGTTTTGGGATGTCTGCGAAGTTCCGTCTTCATAATTGTCCAGAATTTTTCAATTGGGTGAAGTTCCGGTGAATTTGGTGGGTTCATATCTTTTGGCACAAAATTGACTCCGTTGGCTCAGTACCACTCCAACACGTTTCGAGCGTAGTGGCAGGATGCTAGATTAGACCAAAACAGAGTTGATCCTTCGTGCTTCCTTATGAATGGCAAAAGACGCTTCGTTAGGTACTCTTCCGTGTAAATAGCACCGTTGATATTCCACCACATCTGCAAATCGACTGCCAAATCAGGAACTTCTTTGCAAATTTCGATAATGGTTTCTTTGAAACATCCTCCGGAACATCGAACTTGTACTTGGAAATGAAATATTCTTGCCCAGGAAGTTGACGAAAGTCGGCCTTGACGTAAGTGTCGTCATCAATCACGATGCAACACGATCGGGTGAGCAGCTTCGTGTGAAGTTTCCGGGCGCGGGTTTTCGCTGTGGTGTTTTGCTTTTCATTCCGGTTGGGGGCTTTTTGCACTTTGTAAACTTGTAACCCAGCACGCTTCATGGTTTCCTGCACAAAACCGACTGACACCCAGTGATGCCACATATACAGATTTATCTGTAACCATACAGATTTTTTTCAATATTTTGATACAGATATCTGTATATACAGATTACAGATTTTTGAAAAATATACAGATTTTTAAGATTTTTCAAATAAAGGAAATATATTTTGTATTGTTTTTTTTTTATATTTATTAATTTCGATTATTCCGATTATTCACGTTTCTTCTTTTTGAGCAGCTTGAATTCAATCTGAGCATCAAACCCAAATCGTATTTTTTACTAAATAAATTATTATTGCTTTAGTTTCGAATGGACTTGGAATCATTCAAATGGACTTCTGATGTTCAGATGTTCTGCATTCTCGTTGGAAGGAATATTAGTTTCCCTTTCTATTTGTTTAATTCACCATGTCACATGGTGACAGATACGAAGGTTAATGACATATATTTTTGTCAACTCGGTAAACAAGCCATTTTAGAAAACCAACAAAGTGGTTGATTACAGTTTGTGAGTCGAAGAATCAACTGGATATTTTTATATTTAAAGACTGGACTCAGAAAAAATGAGGCACACAAAAATGATCACCAAAAATTCATTTTAAATCGGATACTTCTCAAATTTTCAGAGATTAAATAACTAGGGTAGAGCGCTACTTCGTCGTTATCGCCCATTTGAGTTCTAACGATCAGAAAAGATCAATAATATCAATGATTTCACCGTGCACAAACCAATAATAGGTTTGTTCCGATGTGTTAGTTCATTAGCTACAACATAAATCCTGTTAGAGCGCATTGTATGAATATTTACACTCATTGTTCTCAAAACAAAAGAAGTGTTCCTAGCAAATCCCCTTTTTCTACGTTTATCCGTAGGACGAAGAAAATCTAATGGCGTTTCAATGCGTTAGGACGGAATTGAAACTCGTAGAACGAATTTAGAATCAAGAAGCAGTGTTAGATTTTTAATAATATCTCAACATTGTTTGACTCTTTATCAAATCCAACGGTACGTATGGAAAGGTGAATAAATTTAGAAGTGATCTTTGACAGAAATATTCCATGTTTTGTTTAAACTCGTTCAGAAAAGAGAGGTAAAGCGCGGGTTGTGCTTAGTAGGACGGAAATTAGATCGAAAACCCTATATATTAGCTATGTTTTGGCATAATTTATTTATTGAATTTCCTCCCCCAAGCTGAATGCTCGTACATTTCTCTTAACATTGCTCATGAGATCTTGGGCGAGGCTTTGCCCATGTTCCTTACACAATTTCTCCCAGTTTTTCTTCAAAGCTTCATCGGATTTGAATGTTTTTCCGCTTTTCTTCAACTTCTTCTTCATTATCGCCCAAAACTTTTCGATCGGACGAAGGTCTGGTGTATTTCACGGGTTCGCCTCCTTCGGGACCACATTAACGCCCTTCGCTTCGTACCAATCCATTACAGGCTTGGCGTAATGGCACGAAGCGAGATCTGGCCAGAACAGCGTGGGACCACGGTGAGAGCGGAAGAAGGGCAGCAAGCGCTTCTGCAAGCATTCCTCTCGATAAATCTGCCCGTTTATGGTGCCGGTTGTAACGAACGGCTTGCTGTGCCGTCCGCACTCGCAGATCGCCTGCCACAACAGGTAATTCTTCGCGAATTTGTCCATCTTTCTCTTCCGGAACATTTCCGGAACATCCATGCGGGACGTACCGACAAAAAAACTCGAGGCCGGGGATTTGTTTGGTGTCCGCCTTGATGTATGTCTCGTCGTCCATGACGAGACAGCCTGGCTTGACCAGCCACTTACGGGACAGCTTCCGCGCACGCAATTTGGCCACCGTGTTTTGCTTGTCAGTCCGGTTTGGCGCCTTCCTGACCTTAAAAACACGTAGCCCAACCCGCTTCATGGTCTGCTGGACGAACCACTTCGACGAATTGACCTTTTTGGAAACGTGTCGGGTGGAAAGGTTCGGGTTATTCTTAAAGTACTGCCTTATCTTCCGCGCCTTCTCTGGGTATTCCGATTTCGGTTTTCGGCCGCTTCCAGCAAGCCGCTCGATGGTCTTCATCTCCTGGAACATCTTCACAATGCGGGACACGGTGGAATGGTGGATTCCAAGCCTTTTGCCGATCCATCTGTTCGACTGACCAGGATTATCGATCACCCCGCTCAAGATTTGCTGGTGTAGCTCTTCTTGTTTCGAATGCGTCTTGAAAACTACTTGACAGATCGCGATAAAATTTTGCACACATATACATAACACTCTAAACTAGTATTACCCAAAATTTCATTAATTTTTACCCACGCGATAAAAAGTTATACCCAAAACAAAGTGTCGCATTTTTTCCGAGTCAAGTCTTTAAAAAGCGTAATAATATAAATAAAGAATATTGTATGCAATTAGACTAAAATTCCTGTAAAAGTTCTGTGTTATGTCTAATGTAATTTGTATCTTACAACTTTTACTTAATGTTTGGAATTTTCAGACAGTAGAAGAGATACAAAACACTTAAAAAAATCAAGATTGCAGGATTTAAAGAATTTAAAAAAATAGACAAACTCTTTAGAAAGCAAACTTTTTAGAAACAAATTTTTCATGATTCTAATTATTAAACAAACTCCTTCTGACCTATGAATTTGCTCAGTGGAGATTTACGTAAATCCGCACTATCCGCAGAAATTATACAGATTTTTTTACAGATGTTTGTCAGCCAGATACAGATTAAAAAGATTTTTTGCGATGAAAATACAGATTGAACTTCGAAAAAATGTGGCATCACTGCTGACACCCTGGACTTTTTAGCTTGACATGTTTGGACGGCTTGAACTGTTGCACCACTTTCCTGGCCATTTTACTATCCATTGGACCACTCTTACGACCACTCCCTTCCTTCCTTCTCAGCACTCAGACACTCCTTGAAGGTTATTATCACACGCGACATAGTTGTATTTCCAAACTTTTTAGCGATCCATCGGTGGCACGCCTCTGGATTTTGATTTCTTGTTTCGACGACATGACTGGAACTACACACTTACTTCAGCTTACTCACCGGGTGAGTCGGTCGTACTCAATTTCGTCTGATGCATAAGGTTGTCAAAATCTGAGTAAACGAGAAATGTCAAACTGAGTAAAAGCCACTCAGTCAGCAGAATTCGGGACTTATGTTGTTAAAAATGCCAGCCGTGCCGGCTATCGCTCTAAGAAATGGCGAAATTATTGTATAATACCGGCCGAAATGCATTAAGGTAAGTAGGGATTGCTTGCGGAGACGGTTTTCAGTCGTCTTCAGTTCCAGTTAAATGAATCTGGAGCAGATATTTTCCATTTTTTTTTTTTATCAAAACAAATCAAAAAACAAACTTTCCGGCTGAAAATATTACAGAGTGGTTTTGACTCACTTTGCGCGAGAACGTCGTTTACTCAAAAGTGAGTAAAAGTGCACCTATTCACATTTGAGTAGCCATACTTCCCGCTGAAATGAGCATGTTCGACTCAATTTTGAGTTGTTGCGAGTTACAGTGTACAGTTTGAATAACTTTGAAACTTGACGGATGTAAAAAATTCACTATGAATAAAATTTACTAAAATTTTCAGGTTTTTTACCTATTTGAACCGTATGGTTACAGAAGATTTTCGGTGTGCCATTCTTATCGAATACACCCGAATCAATCAATCAATCCGTGCAAAGCAGATCAGGGCAACGAGGAGAAGCATATTTTTTTTCTTGAATAAACCCTTATTCAGCTTTGAATGCTTGCTGGGATTTTAATTACCCTATAATATTACATCCATACTATGTACTATGTTAAACGAATGAAATTTGAATCCAAGGAGTACGCTCCAATTAAAAAACGAACGAAGGCCATTCAAACTCCCACTCCCATAAGCATCTAACTCGCTTGGATAGAATGACCCATAGCTTCGACGTTAGCACTGTCAACGATACGATAAAAGCGTGTAACTTTCGCCAGATTGTTGTCAGACCACCAGTCCAGTCCCATAGGACAGCTTACACGGTAATACCTATGAAGGTTGTTCGTGGCGTTTCATGTGCTCCTCTTACACCGTTGATAAACCGCCCATCAAACTCAAACGTTGGACAACTCCATTTCCTAGCTATCATCAGCATCACACATTCGGTGGCATGACCAGAAAAAGTCAACCCTCGGAAAAGGAGAACTTTTTAATGAATATTTCTGCCCATTCACTTCACTCATGTTTTATTTCATTTCTCCATCGCCAGATCAAAAACCGTCACTTTGAGCATGCCTTCGAGGTGTCCAGCTTCCTGTTCTTCGTGGGCCCGATGACGGTCATTGCCGTGCTGTACGTGCTGATCGGGATCAAACTCCGCAAGAGCAAACTGCTGCAGGGCGTCAAACGGCAAGGGCCGGGCGTCGGGGCTAGCGCAGGAGATCACGGCCATCATGGCGGGATGGCCACTTCCGGAGGTGCGAGCTCCCGGGCCGTCAGCGGTCAGACACGAGTGATACGAATGCTCGGTAAGTTACTTGTTTGCAGGATGCTTTTTCCCGTTTACTAAATTGAATTCTCTCGATGGTTTTTCGTTTCGCAGTGGCCGTGGTGGCGACGTTTTTCTTCTGCTGGGCACCGTTCCATGCACAACGGTTGATGGCCGTGTACGGTTCGGTCACCAACACGGACAATGAATTTTTCTTCCAAGTCTACACCTATCTGACGTACATTTCCGGAATATTGTACTTTCTGTCGACGTGCATCAACCCTCTGCTGTACCATATCATGAGCCATAAGTTTCGGGATGCTTCCAGGGTAAGTGGAAATTGATTCTCTGGGATGGGAGATAGTGAACGATGATTGAATGTTATGATATCAGTAGGATTTTTGAACAAAAAATATGCCTTTAACTTGTAAAACTTCTTTCAAGACTGGTTGTCTATGTCTGATAGGGTAGATGTACTTCTGTGAATTACATAGGTCATAATAAATCATATCGTTAGGCCATTTTCTACAGAGATGGTGCTGTTCCGCTGGTAGGAAGGAATGGAAATCCCCATTTAGAAGTTGAGAGAAGTGGGAGTTCAGACACATGGATGGTGATCAGCTTTGATCAGAATTCACCCTCCAAGAAGCACAAATGTGTTTTTTACTATACGTCTTACAGCAAGGTACTGAGGGTAAATCAAAAACCTAAAATTTCAACCGTCACGAAAAGGTGTAAGGTTTTCAACGCTTATAACTTTGTCATTTATAGATGAAATTAAAATCCAAACACACCAATAGATAGGAAATAACTGTAATAATCTGCTACGATAAACGCTTTTTTAATTTTCCTTAAAAAAATGTTGAAAAATGTACAAATGAAAATTGACACTTTAATCACTGTTTTCACCCAGCCGTTATAATCGAGTACCTTTTGGTTGCACATCGTGCTGCTTGAATCTGAAAAGTTATAAAACAGCGCTGCTTTTGTGCCTCAATTCAACTTTGCTCGACTATTGAGATTTTCAGTCCGTATTTTCGATCGAGTTCTCCTTTCGATTTTGTTTCGTTTTGTGCTGTCGCGTTGCGTAGAGGAAGTGTCGCCACCTTCTCGCGTTCTGGCAACTTTACTTGAACTTGCAAACACGAAACAAATGGTGCGTTAACGTGCCAATGAGACAGCAGCGGGCCCTTCAAAGAAGATGCTAATCAAGCCAAGCGTTTCGCAGGATGACGCCGGAAAGCAGGTACTGCAAGCCAACCAGTATGCAATACTCCCGGAAGAAAATGGCGATGGTTACGCCGTTCCCATTGCTAGAAGAGAGCGGATTACCCCGCTTTTTACGCCGGTGAAGGATGTTGCCAAGCTGCGTGCCGAACTGGCTAAACACAAGATGCTGCCTCGCTTCAAGCTTTGCAGCATTGGTTCCAAAATCATGTGCTCCAGCCTGGAGGAGTACAAATAAATAGGATGTTTCCTGAAGGACAACAACAACGTGGACTTCTTCACGCATGATCTGCCATTTTGCATGGATTACCGTCGTTCAAGGCGGCTGCGGTGAAATCCGAGCTGGAGCGGCTTGGGCTCAAGCCTGAGGAAGTGTACCCGATGCACCGGCGTTCCAACCACAACATCAGCTTCCTGTGTACTTCACAAAGGGCTCTGAGATCCAAAATCCGTTTCTGTTTGTGGTCATCTTCAGTTGGGAGCATTACAAACCCCAACTTCGTGATGTAACGCAGTGTATGAACTGCCTCTCTTATGGCCATGACACCAAAAACTGCCATATGAAGACATACTGCGGCAAGTGTGCTGTAACCAGAGATGCCAAATTTACAGACATGTCTGGGAATTTACAGACTTTTATTTTTTTCAAAGACATTTTTTTCGTTACAGACATTTACAGACTTTTTAGTTTTTTTTACAGATATTTACAGACTTTTGTTATCAAGGAAACATTTTAAAATTTATTGTGTTACACCGTTTTACATCTTTAATCAAATTACACGTGCGATGCATTTTGCAACACGCGTTAGAAATTCACGCGTTTTCAAATCCACCACACGAACGAGCTGTCACTGTTGTGCCCTGAACCGTCTCACCTTCAATAGCAGTTGATTTTCAGGGGTCCAACACAGAAGCATGCAGCAGCAGGAACGATCATTTGTCCGTCAATCAGCCGAAAGGAAATTAACGGCGAGTGTGTGCACTTGTCCTTCCGAATCTCCCTTGATAGTTGGAATTCTTCACTTGATTCCAGAAAACTCACTCACGTAATCACAATATCAAAACGCATGATTTATTATAAACAGAAACTAACGGACACTACATTTATTAATCGACTTAACTAACTAGACTACACAAAGGAATATAAATATGCGGTTTACCGCGACCGTATGACCGTAGCCAGTGGTTTGTCCGATGACCTGTTCGCAACTGCTGATCGGTTTTGATTTAGAGCAATGCAACAGATCCAGAGAAGCTGATCTGTTGTGAGAGACGTGACGTCATGGATCCTGATGGACGATGGTCTGGCAAGCCAGGTCGACACTCTCGTCGGTCGTGATCGTCCGCTCTTCTACTCCGTTTAGATCACATTGGATCTTTCTACTACCTAACCCTAGCCTTACAGAAATACATGAGAACAATAAGTTTGCTTGTCGATCGATATCGTCTATCCTCATGGTGTGGTACATAAGGGTCCAGAACAATAGCCCAGACGTAAACAACTCCACCGGCGGTTGCACAGACAGACTATTGTGGTGGCTAGCTGCGGATAGTGATGACCAGGGTTGTAGCTGAGTGGGAATCTCGCTACCGAACACTCTCACCCACCCTGAAATTGCTGCAATTTCTGAAACGAAATAAAGAAACTTCCTCTTCGAAAGGGATAAGGATGGGATCAGGATTCGGTGGGGTTTGTTGGTTGAGCTTCGGGCCGTTCAGTGTCCTTCGTGTTATCCAGGCTAGGGAGCAGGCAGATCCTTTCCATCGGTCGCTTGAGGAATTCATGCTTCGTTTTCAGTGTTACAACTCGAACGGCTCCGTCTTCACCTGGATGGGTCTCCGTAATTCGTCCCATTTTCCACCGTATTGGGGGTAGATTCTTGTCGCAAACTACCACCAATCTGCCGACCACGATTTGCTTCGCTGGACCTAAGTGTTTCGTACGTCCTTGGAGTTGGCACGAATACTCCTTGCGCCATCTATTCCAAAATCCCTGGAACTTCTGCTGCAGCTGTTGATAGCGATTCAGTCGGTTTGTTGGAACATTCAACCAGTCAAGTGCGGGTAGCTCGTGGAGGGATGAACCGATAAGGAAGTGGCCTGGTGTCAATGGCTCTAGGTCGTTTGGGTCATCAGAGATGGGCGTAATCGGCCGGGAATTGAGGCACGCTTCGACTTGCACGAGCAGGGTTTGAAAATCTTCTGGCGAGATCGGTTCTTCTCCAACGACTCTAAGCAGATAATGTTTGGCTGATCGCCCGGCCGCCTCCCAAAGGCCACCAAAGTGAGGAGCATTTGGAGGATTGACGTGCCATTGGATGCCTTCGTTTGTGCAGTATTTGGTTACCGCTTCCTGGTGCTTACTGTCCCGCAACATCGTGAACAGTTCTTGGAGCCGATTTCTTGCTCCGACAAAGTTGGTCCCGTTATCGCTATACATGTCGGTACACCTGCCTCTCCGTCCTATGAAACGGGGAAGAGCTTGGAGGAATCGATCAGTGGATAAATCCGAGACGAGCTCCAGATGAACTGCCTTTGTCGCCATGCAGATGAATACTGCTACGTAGGCCTTGACGGCGACACGCCGTGGACCAGGACGTACGAAGACAGGTCCGAAGTAATCCACGCCAGCCTTAGCGAACGGACGCGACACGGTGACTCTGGCTGATGGCAGCTCTCCCATGAACTGCTGAAGCGGCGGCGGTTTTGCTCTGAAGCATTTCTAGCAACGATGGACAACCAGTCGAGCTCCATTCCTCCCTCCTAATGGCCAAAACTTCAATCGGATGGTGCTCAAAAGAAGCTGCGGTCCTGCGTGTAACAGGATGTGATGGTAGTGCTCCGTAATCATCCTGGTTAATCGATGGTAAGCCGGTAAGACTAGCGGGTGCTTGGTACCTTCAGACTCGTTGGAATGACGCAGTCTTCCTCCTACACGTAGAAGCTGATCCTCCGGGAGATATGGATTAAACCACCTAAGTGGTGATTTTCTGGGGACCAGCCTTCCCTGAGACAACGCCGTTCGCTCTTCGGAGAAGGTTTCCCGTTGAATCAAACGAATTATGGTGAATTCTGCTTGTCGTTATTCCGAAATGGTGAGAAACCCTACCGTATGGTCAGCCGATCGAGTTTTCAAGCGTCTTATTAACCGTTGCCATACCGCTGAGGCTGGTGTAGTTTGGAAACTTGCTGATGTACCAATCATTGAAGTTTGCCAACGTGGATGATGTCCCTGCTGCAACGGTTCGTCGTGTCTCGATCTGATGTTCGTCTTCTGTTGAGATTTCTGCCTCCTCGGCTAACCAACGTGGACCGTGCCACCAGAAATCGTTCTGGATTAGGTCTTCCGGTGAAAGTCCCCTAGATATCATGTCTGCAGGGTTTTCAAGACCTGGTACATGTCGCCACTGAAATCCTTCGGTAAGGGTTTGTATTTTCGCTACCCTGTTGCTCACGAAGGTGTTCCAGTTCGATGGAGATGATGCCAACCATCGAAGTACGCACGTTGAGTCCGTCCAGAAGTGTGCAGAAGCGTCGATCTTGATTGATTGTAGCACCTTCTCGAATAACTGCGCCGATAGCAATGCGCCGCAGAGCTCCAACCGAGGAATCGTTTGACATTTTAACGGTGCTACCTTGGATTTGGAGGTTAGAAGACGAACGATGACTCTTCCTTCCACATCTTGACTCCGCAAGTACACGTATCCGCTCGGAAGCGTCCGAAAAGCAATGTATCTGAACGCTCACTGGTCTGGGAGTGATTACGCAGCGACTAATACGGATTTGATTGAGTAGCGGGACTTGCTCATGGAATTTCTGCCAACGCTCACCCACCGTTGAAGGCATAGACTGATCCCAATCTAGTCCGATACCATCTTCGTTTCGCCATGCCCACAGTTGTTGAAGAAAGAGCAATGAGAAGGCGGATTCACTTGCGAAGGTGGGCGCTATGGAAGGCGACATTTATGATCGACAAATCGCTTATAGTGAATTTTTCTCTATTTATCGTCAGCAGTCACTCGTTAGCTGGCAACATCAATGGAGTGAAGGGAGCTTGGGACGATGGCTACATTCAATTATCCCTAAGGTGTCGAAGTTTGCA